CGACTGGGTCACTTATCAGACAACTAAATGAAAAAATTGTCAAAAATCGTCGACGGTCTAAACATAGGAAAAGACTGCTCAACTTCTGGATGTTCAGTGTGTACACAGGGAAAACAATCCTCAAACCCATTCAATGGCACACGCACAAGGGCAAAACGCCCACTACAGTTGGTATATATGGATGTATGCGGACCTATTACCCCAACTAGCTGGTCAGGTGAGCGTTACTACGTATCTTTTATCGATGACTTTACACATTTTGCCATAGTTTACCCAATAAAGGAAAAATCTGATACTTTCAACAAGCTGAAAATATTTGAAGCACTCGCTATAGCTCATTTTGGTACTAGTATGTCCAAACTCTGATGCGACAATGGTGTTGAGTATTCATCAAAGGCGCTTAAAGAGTTCTTGTGAGGGGAAAGGAATAGAAATTCAATACACATCACCATGCTGTCCACAACAAAACGGCCACGCAGAAAAACTGAACAGAACCTTATGTGAAAAAGGTMGATCTCTACTCATCGAAGGCAATCTCCCAAAAKAAATGTGGAACGAAGCAATACAGACAGCTGCATACCTATTGAACAGGTCGTATACAACACMTTTAAACAATGTTACACCAGCAGAACTGTGGTTTGGTTTTAAGCCAGATATAAGCAACCTTCGTGTATTCGGATGCAAAGCTTACTTACTTAAACCTAACCATACCAGAAATAAATTTAATGAAAAATCTGAACTGTTTACTCTGATAGGATACAACAACCATTGATACCGTTTATAGGATTCTAAGAACAAAAGAATCATCAACGGTAGGAATATTAAATTTGATGAGACAAACAAGACGAACGGTCTTACACAAGTTTTTATGGAAAGCGACCAAATGCCTRAAGAAAGAAAAATCGAACAAGCTGTCGATGACCAACCAGCGCAGAAAACGATGAAAACCACTATGACTCTGACACCGATTTGAATAAAACATTCATTGAACCATCTACACGTCCAAGGAGGGAAACACGACCACCCGTATGGACCAAAGACTACTACACAGGGCACGCCTCAATAATAKAAAACACAGGCGAACCATTCTCATACGAAGAAGCTATCAACGGGAATGAATCTGCAGAATGGGAACAAGCAATGAAGGAAGAGATAAACTCTCTAAACAAAAATCATACATGGTCACTTGTCGAACTGCCAGAAGGAAAGAAAGCAATAGGATGCAAATGGATATTCAAAATTAAAAAGGATGCAAACGGAAAAATACACCGTTACAAAGCAAGACTGGTAGCAAAAGGATACGCACAAACACATGGAGTTGACTATACTATGAAACCTACTCACCAGTGATGAACATCACTACTATTCGTTCACTCCTAGCCATAGCAAATAACAGGAAAATGCATATACATCAAATGGACGTGCACACAGCCTTCCTTAACGGAGTCCTTGATGAAGAGGTGTGCATGTGTCAACCTGAGGGTTACGGAACAAACACAAATTTGGTATRCAAATTACACAAATCAATCTACKGACTAAAAAGGCAGCTCGTGTATGRAATCAGAGCTGTGACCAAATGCTGGYGAAAAATGGGTTCAACCACCTTAAATCTGACAATTGTGTGTACAAGAATTCCGATGATAGTCTGTTCATTGCTATATATGTTGATGATATATTAATCATAGGCGCTGACATAGCCTCCATCAAATGCATCAAGAAAAAACTACAAATGACGTTTGACATGGAAGACTTTGGTTAATGTGAGCACTTTCTGGGTCTCAACCTCAAGAGGGACTTCAACAGGAAGACCATAAGCATCAACCAAACTACTTATCTCAACAGTGTACTTCAGAGATTTGGTACGGAAAATTGTAAGCCTTCTAAAACACCTATGGAACCCCGTCTAAGACTCGAGGACGTCAAAGAAAAAAAGACAGCGCATCCATACCGTGAACTTATAGGATGTCTCAGTTATGTAGCGATGGTATCACGACCTGACCTCTGTTATGCAGTCAACTACCTAAGTCGTTTCCAAGAAAATCCTACTGACACCCACTGGAACTATTTAAAGAGAGTTTTGAGGTACATTA